TTTATATATACTACCTATTTTAAAAAAGTTATATTAAACTCCTATTACTATCTATTTGAACATAAACTATTATTCAAATCAGAAATCATTGGTAGTGAAACGAATTAATTGACTTCTATTACATGACCAGAACTGTTTATTCAGATGGAATGTTTATTCAAAATGGAATTCTACTGTACTTTGTCATATATTTATACTATATAATATAATATACTAATAACATCATATAGATTTTATCTAAAAAACTTTACTTTGTCGGTAGCAGAGAACGTAGTTCTATGCTGTGGACATGATCACGTACTAGTTCGATCATTTTGTCACATTCTTCTTTTTGCGGCTCGAAAAAACTTGGCTCGAGATTCTCCAAATAATCCTGGAAAGCACCCTCGCAGTAGCGTCGTCGCCAAGAATTGCCGTGTTCAACGGGATCGTTGTGTTCCCATCTAAAATAATTCTAGTTTTTACGCATTTGAATTTGAAGTCACGCTTCCAGTAAACCAAAAACAAATTTCTTTATGAAAATTCGATAGTTTCCAGTGCTGGAAGCGAGCACAAAGTTTGAGAATGTTTGCTGAAAGATGGCCAAAGGAAATTAATGGAATTGGTACCGTATGAAATGCATCTGCTATTCATGATAGTAAGTAAAACCATTCGTGGTTGGTAAATTAAACATCCATTTATGAAATTGCTTCTGTGTTTTATGTTTTTATGAAGATACGAGTAAACTTTTTCAGTGACCTTTTTTATACATCAAACGAGAACTTCATTTATAAAGATGCACAAAATTATTAATCACTATTACTTTAATAATTACTTATTCCTAAAGTATAAAGTAAAATTTTGTATTTTTCTATTTCTAATTTCTCACTATTAGAGCTCTAATAATCCTCTTTATTTCTATATTCTACTCTTTCTAATTTAACAAACATTTTTTTTTATTTTTCTTCCTTCTCCTTCTTCCTCTTTTCTATTTTTCAAATTTTCCAAATCTTCATAAATTCTCAGTTTTCTAATTTCCAAGTTCTATATCTTACTTATTTTTCAAATTCTTCTTTCCCTGTTCCTTTATTATAATAGTCCACTCTGATTATATAATGATTATAAAGAAAGAACTTCCTCAAATTCCATAAAGTACTTTTAAGATTTTGGATTACATGTTTCACCTAGCTTTCGAGTAACGTTCCCAGTAATGTTCATTCTCAATTTTCTTTGTAACCAGTTCAAACGGCAAATCGGTGGGCAGAATTTCCATCAGCGTATTTCTGTCCTCGCATGTCGGTAATTCCTCCAGTATCGGATTTTCCTTCCACACAGAGGCTATGACACGAAGGGCGAGGGTCTTTAAGCTTGGGATTCTCTGCTCGTCCCAGGAAACATCTTCCGGTCGAATTGTTCGTTCGACCTCGCTCATTAACCGTGTCGTTTCTTCTGAACATCTTCCAAAAAATATTAATTAAACATTCACCATATTTTCCTATTAACTGTCATATGATATAGAGCAGTCTGGAAATTAGGAAATTGATCAACGGAAAAATTAGAGAATTAGAAAGATGGAAAATAACTAGGAAATTCAAGTAATTGGAAAAATAAGAAGCGAAAAAATTAAGAAGTTGAAAGATTAAGATACGGAGTAATTAGGAAATCAGAAAGTGGAAGGGGCCGGAAACCTTACCTGTAAGCTTCCAACACGTTCTTCGGTATAGTGTACGGAATTTTCATTTTTGCTATATCTATTATGCATTACACTCATAAATATGCAAACACAGGCTTTCTCTCCGGCTTATTTCCTCCGCATCTCCACCATTTTACAACCTGCTTCAAACGAAACAGATAATCGACGATGAAAGGCTTCTATCTTCAACGAATTAACATAGTCACTCATATTTCTTTTTTTTGCAATATCTTGGTACGCGACTTTTCAACTTGTATATATTCTACGATATCTACCTAAATGACGTACTAGCTTTTCTACGTTAGAATTTTATCTTAATAATTATATTTTTAGGAATGTCCAGAGGGCGTAGTTCATGAAGATCTGTTCAAAGATATCTATGCGAAATTCTTCCCACATGGCAGTGAGTTTTTGAATAATTATTAAAGATTCTTCAATGATTTTTAATTTTTCAGCAATTATTATAAATAAATTTTAATACTAATTTGTGTAAATTACAGATTCTAGTCTTTACGCCCATTACGTGTTTAAGGCCTTCGATGTTAATTGCAATGGTGCCATGAACTTTAGGGTAATTTTCACTTTCTGTAATAGAAATTTCTATTTTATTATGAGTTACTAGAAATTTTGTTTCTACTCCAGAGCACTTATAACGTTTAATATTTATGATATTTTTTTAGGATCTTTTGGTCATTTTATCGACTCTGCTACGAGGTAGTATCTACGAGAAATTACGATGGATTTTCAAGTTATACGATATAAACGGTGATGGATGCATCACAAGAGGGGAACTATGGGAAGTGGTGATTGCGGTACACGAGCTTATGGGTCGACGGCATCATGCTGAAGAGGAGAGGAAAGCTAGGGAACAGTTGGATAGGGTGTTCAATCGCTCTTGCATTTTATACCTTTTTGAATAATATTGCTCGTTTAAGATAATTCTCATTTTTCGCGAGATTTTCTTATTGAGATTTACGATTTAAATTACTCAGCATTTAAAAAAAGTAGAAACAGATCTTTTTAAATGGTTTATATAATTATAAAATATATAAGTGTTAAGAAAAGAGAATGTAATTGTTCTTCCTTCCAACTTTTAAGGGAGAAGTTTGCAAGGTTTTATAATAAGAAAATTGAAAATGAAAATTGTGTAATAAAAGTAAATTCTGGTACCTAAATTGAAATAATTAACATGTTGATTGTCACTAAAATTGATTACAACTATTTTCCAATAATGAACTTCTACATAATACACCAATTAATTAATAATATGATAAAATGTAACACTGTTCAACAATTGTTATTCTTTACTCATTTTCATTTTCAGTTTCTATTAAATATTTTTACTAATAAAAATTTCCGCATAACAAACAATGCGTTAATATAAATAATTAAGAAAAATTATTTGTCCAGGACGACGTGACTACACGGTCGTTGGCAAAGTTCGATTACGCGTTTTGATCTCCGGAGAAGGAAGAGCCCCTGGTGATGACCACAACGCCGCCAACGCCGCTCTCCACCACAACCACCTTCTCACAATCCCAATCGCCTTCGCCACCGCCGCCGTCCTACTCTTTGCTGCCACCTATTCCACCGCCTTTGCCTTCTCAGCCACCTCCAGGTTACACCGTTCAGGATCAAGAGCTTTATATGCTCTTAGCGGCACACTGGTGGAACCAACCGGAGGCTCCGCTCTTTTGCTAAGGATAAATTATCTGGTAAACATAATTTCGGCAGTTCTTCGATTTTTAAATTATTTTTTTTGGGAAATACTTTGGATGTGGAATAAAATCATATAAATATCCTATAAATATGAATCAGATTTATTGATTGATTTAAAGATTTAAAGATTTAAATAATAATAACATATAAGAAAATAGAATAAAAAGTAATAAAGTTTAATATAAAAGAGATTCATATTGTACAGAGCTGAAATACAACCATAAGAAAGTTAGATGATGTTTCCTTTTATAGAATCAGACATAGCTTTTAATGGTTAAATTTTTTTTTCAGGAAAAAGTAAAATGTGATTCCCATATTCTACAGTATGGAATTTCATCTTCTAAAAAGAAAAGCAAAGAATCGTAAAAAGGAAAAAAAACAAAAAAAAAAAAACAAAAACAAAAACAAAAAGAATTCAGAAGTAACAGAAGTCCCTAAAAATCTTGTAAGTTCAGGAAGTTAATTATGCTCGTGATCAACAGATAAACGAGCTCAACATATTTCTTCTTGCAGAAGAACTATTTTACGTCACGTAAGTGAATCTGTTATGCGTCCAACTATAAAGGGAGTAAAGTACTCCCTTTGGGGGGAGGGGGGGGGGGGGAGAGATGAACGACTTGTCAATTGTGGAATCGAGATTAAGACTCGAGTCAAAAATTATCACATGAAATAAGACTAAGAGAATTGTATCAGTAAATTAGGAGAAAAGTAAAAATCAACTCAAAGAATACATAATGAAGAATGAATATAAAATAAGAAGCTATTAAAGATGTCGAGGTTTTCAAATTTATTTCCAGAGGAGAACGTGAATATCGAAGGAAATGTTTAACATTCTATCGTATTCTACAACGTTGCCGAAGAAAAAATATTGAAAACGAGAATTCGACACAAAACATTTTATCTTGTTTCACTTCCGTGCCAAACTCCAAATAGAAAACTATTCTACTTCGTTCATAAACAGTGATACGTGATATGACTGTGTACGCGAATTTTATCTATGAAATTAATATAGAAGATGACGAAATTGAAAAAATATCGTACAAATATTAATTTACAACAATTAATCAAGTACACGTCTTTAACTTTGTAATATGATCGAAAATAATTCTTCGGGGACCTAAAAGAGAAGTAAAATTTAAATTTTTAAAAAGAAAAAATTATATGAGTTTGAAAACTTATTATGTATTATGTGTATTACTTGGCAAAAGGGAAATTATGTGTATTAAATTAAGTTCAATTTAATACAATAACATAATTTGTTTAATCCCGATCTTTAAAGAATAATTAAAACATATTTAAAAGGAGTACATTCACATATATTTACAATTATATCTTTTTAAAATGTAATCTTTTTCCACGAAGAAGTATCGCATAATAAATTTAGAGACACTCTGTACTTGATAAAGGAAAATGAATTTGTCTGTGTCGTTTATTATTTGCTAATTTACATATTAAAAACGTCTTTAACGTGCAACGAGCATCCGGCGATCGAGCCATAACAATAATGAAGATGTAAGATAATCTCACATGTCTTAAGAAATTTAAAAAGGAGTATACGAAAACAATGTGGTTTTCCAGAAAAGGAGCAGCAGCACGGTATTCCGTTATCTTCATCATATTAAATATATCCTATACACTGTATCTTATATATGCTCTTATAAGGTTCAATTGTTTTACAAGATCATTTGTAGAGTTATATTATGGACATAAGCAATAATTAAAAATCTGTTTTTTAATATCAATTGGTAAAAAAATGAAAAGAAGCAATTTTTCCTACACATGCAAATATAAGCGGACACTAAACCGTAATTAAAGTTACATAGTTTCGTTTAGTAAAGAAATAGAATATTTCCGTAAACATTTTGCAAAATGAAACACCAAATTGCAATAATTATCTAGTAATTTGAAGAAAAGGAAATTAAGGTGAAAAAGAATTAAGAAAATATTGTGTGAAAGTGCACAAAATAGTTTCGTTGCTAAAGAATCGAACGATTTATCGTCGTTTGTACGTTTGCACGACCAGATAATCGCCATAGGCGTAGACAGCTTGCGTCAATCTTTGGATCTCCAAGTTTTTTAGTAACATACAGCCACGTTTTATCAATATACACCAAGTATGTCTTTTAAGGCTAGAGAACCATTTTGAATTTTGCACATGCACTTTCAAACACATTTATATTAGATCCAGTTTAGGAAATCTTTAAAAATCATTAGAATATTTCTCAATCATTTTCAAAATTTTTGTTCTTTTACCTAGCCAGTAACGTCTAATACAAAAGGATCTTCTTTACTTTAACACGATTCAGTAAATAACTACTTGGAGTAGTAAATAATTAGATACTTTATAGATAGATTAGGATTTTTAGTCCACTTTTTGAGTACCTCAAGTACCTGTAGCTATCAAATGCTAATTTATGAAGTCATTAATATTAATTATTATTCATTAACAAATGAATGTTAGTTTGCAATATCGTTAAGCCATTTTTAACAAAAATGGTTTGAAAATGATAATTACTTTGTCTCGAAATTTTTAGGCAATATAAATATATAAATACATACATATGCGCACGTGTGTGTTTTGTGTGTGCACGCGTGCGTGTGTGTATTTTTATTTTTAATCGTAAATCTTTCGAAATAGAGGCTCAAATTAGAAGAAACTTAGGATAAGAACCATTTGTTGACCGTTGTTGTCTCTTTGTAGCACTCTCGCACTGTTACTTGTTAATCGATGAACTCTTTCACCATAGTGTTTTAATAGAAAACAAAGATGCGTAGGTTGCTAAGCGCGTTTCTAAAGCAACTATGTAATAATGATAATTAATTCATATTTGAATGGAACCTACAAACAATTTGAATCTTTCTATTTTACTATGAATGATTTTTTTGAACTATGGCATTTTTTAATGCTATGAAAATGTAATGTTAATTTACATTGAAACTATTTTCCAACATTAAAATTTTATTATCGAACAAATTATTTTCTAGGAGTTAAAGAAAAGCATAATTAATCTTTATATAATCTTATTTAAAAATATTTTTTATTTCTTTAAATCATTTGCAAAAAAAAACTGAAAGTATGTTATAACCAAGAATCCGTTGTCCATTGTTCCTAATAATGCGTTTTCTAATTGTCAATTGCATCTAAGACAGAAAAAAATTTGATGATCAAAAACTTTGAAAAAAAATTTTCTAACTGTTCGAAAGTTTCTCAGAACTCAGAGTGGGAGTTTTTTTTACTACATCAAAATAAAATGTGAAAAATCGATTTAAAGATCATATATCGATACTTCTGACAAGAGTAATGAGTGTATATCGCATTCGATCTAATGTTACAGAATTTTTACATATTTTCTAAGAAAAACAAAAGAGGGACTTTAGAAGAAGGAAACAACGAATGTTATAATTAAAAAAAAGAAACAAAAAAAAAAAAACAATTTTCTATACGTGATATAGCCAGAAATGTTCTCAACAATAATATCTACCAAATGACGACGATAAATAAGAGAATAACATATATACTTATTTTCCAGTTCAAAAGTGAGAAATTTAGGTTATGAAACACAATAAGATAAAAAAAGTAATGGTTAACATTGTTTGATACTTTAATAACTAAAATTTCATGATTTTATAATGATCCAACTTCTCGTTCCTCGTTTAAAATGTCATTTTAATTAATTTCTGAAATAACTACCTAAAGTCGTAAATATTTTATGTTACGAGTATACATAAACAAATATTTCTGTTTGTAAAAGAAAGTGAAAAATCAAATTTCCTATAAAATGAATTTAACACAGTTTCGTTAATACGTTTTAGAATATAAAATAAAGTACATATTATGTTTTCAGTAGCTAATGATTTGACATAGCTTTTTCTTTTTAAAAACTAGGTAATTTAGATCGTTACATATCGTGCGTGCTTATGGTCGTTTCAAAATCAGGACAACCGTTAAATTCAAAATGTAGAAACATAAGATCGATGTTTAAGAATCAAATTTTGAGGAACTTAGATCGTAAATCTAGTATGTATTAATTTTATCTCAGAATGAAAAGAACTGCAACTATACAGAATGTTTCAAAATATAAGTAGCATTTAAAGCGAATTTTTCTTGGAAAACATTTTTCAGTTTACAGATTTAGTTTGCAAAAAGTTCGTAATTCATATTGTGTCACTTATTTTGAAACACCTTGTATAGATTGAAATATTCATAGTCAATTCATAAATATTATAGATAATATAGATCATAATTAACTTTATTGATCTTTAGGACTTATCTTGAACTGTAAATTGAAATTTCCAATTATATAAAAATTTATACATTCGTGCTTTTAATTTATAAGTATATTTATTTACTTCTTTATATATAGATTTATCCAAAAATAATAACATAATTATCGTTAAACATCGATACATTGATACTTGACTAGATTTGTGTTTTTACTCATTCATTCGCTTAATTGCAACGAAGAAAACTTTCGCCGATAAGCGTAACATATATTTCTATGTCTAAAAAAATGTATTAGTCGATTAAAGTTTAAATTTAATTACAGTAATGTAAAATACGAGTAACGAATCAAACTTTGTTACCATAGCGACATTTAGCGTGTACGAAATATTTGGTTATAGTTCATAGAATGTACAATTTAATAGTTAAGCTTAAAAGCAATTTTTTATGACAAGAATTAATGATTAGTGATTATAACAAATTGACTAGCAATCGATCCCATGTCGCCAAAGAATTCGAAACGGTTGTAACTTAAAAATAGATACTTGTTTAGATCAATTTAATAGAGAGTTATATCTCACAAAAAATATATCAGGATAAACAATTATTAGTATATCACTTTTTTATTTGCTACATTACGTACATCTATCATAATATACATTTTTTATAATGAAACGAGCTGTGAACGTTCGAATACTTTGGTGATACATTGCATTTAGATGCTCCGCGAAGTATGTTCGTTAATTCTCGTACTGCCAGTTTTTCTGTAGAATTTGAACATTACATACATTAATAACAGAAAGTAAGAAAATGTTTTTGCATGCGATAGCTCATAATCACCGTGTTGTCCTTTCTCCAGGCCTTTCTCTAATACTCCTAGTGTCCATACTCCCGTTCCTCTGTTCGTTAGATCGAGGAATAGTTATATATGAGTACCGACGATCAATTTTGAAATAAATTACATTTCTGCGTTAGATCCTCGCACTGTGTGGACGGCTTATGTCTCGTGATAGCTGAATTGTAAATTCAGAGAAATAAAGGGAGATGGTCATTATTATTAACCGTCGATGTATTTTTTCCTTAAATTCATTATAAAATTTATCCAATATCCTTTAATTTTCAAACACCAATAAAAATTATATAAATTTCAAATAAAAATTTGTTTATGAATATTAATTTATTCATTTTCATTTTAATTTTTAACATTATTACATTTGTTTAAAATTAAATTGGTAACATTGTTATCTTATACTTATTATTATATTTTCTTTAAATATTATATAAGAAAAATTTATATTCAATGACCGTATATCGAGTCATACGTTACGTCGACACGGTTATATATCTTACAATTAAATAGAAATTCACTTAAGAATAACGTGTATTAATATTTTTCATGTTTATTTAGTTGTAATATCTTTACAAATAACATAAACAAGTATTAATGGAAAAATAAAAAGTAATGCTGATTTATATTTTTAAAATTATATTAATACATATTATTATATCATAAACACCTTTATTTATTCTTTAAATACAACATACGCAGTAAATTAAAAACTGAAGAAAAAGTAAATATCTTTTTCTTTGTATGAACTACTTTAATCCAAAATTTTATAGTGATAATAGTACTATTTTTAAAGGTAAACTTGGTCGTTTAGCAGCTGTCATAAAACCAACCTCTTTGAACTAGTGACATTGAGCCAATGGAAGAGATGAAAATTTGATTTAAAAATACACATTAGATATTATTGTTTTAGAATCTATACATATTATTTCATTCTTAAATTGCGATTTAATAGTGATTTAATTCCGACGTCAAACTGTCTCACAACGGAGAGTATGTACTTTTAAAACAATTTCTTTATATAAAAACATAACCTATATCAACGATATTGAAATATTTTCAAAAGCATTTTCTTTTTAATTTTATAGAAAAGAACGAAATCTAGGCAGCATGCCAGAGCCTGTGAATCATCAAATAAATGCTGCTCGTAAAACATTCCAAACACTTTACCAAATTTCAAAATTACTAAATACAAATTTGGATCCAACAACATTAAGTATATGTATTCGATTATGCGAAAATGGTGTAAATCCATATGCGCTTGCAACTGTGGTAAAGGAGTTACAAAGGGAAGTGAAAGCTATGGATAGTACTAACCAACTAGATTCTCCTACTAGCAAGTCTAATTTAAATAAATAATGAAATATTATGTTTTTCAATAATTTAGTAAATGAAATGAATCTCCATTAATCTATTATTTTTTATATCACATTCTGCTTATGTGCGATAAAAAATATACTTATAATTCATAATCATAAAATATTGAATTGTTTTTACTTATGAGATTATTAACTGTTGCTCTCTCTATTACATTTTTAATAGTATTATCAATGAACTACTATAAATTGAATTTACTTATGTCTAAAGTGTATCTGTAAAGTTTAAAATTGTTCTATTATAAAATCAATAAAAATATGAATAGTATTATTTGTATAATTATGTGGGAAAAATTTATTTTGCTATAAAATTAACATATGAAATTTTACTTTTCAATATAAATCACGTTTATTTGCAATTTTTGGAAACATTATGTTAAATTACAAAATATTTAAATAATTTGAAGTATATAGCTCCAAGAACAAAAGAGTTTTTGTATCAAAAATTATTCTATACTTATCTGCTTATAGATACATATATATATATATGTATATATATATATATATATACATGTATAAAAATATACAAACAAAAAATATGTAATATTTTAAAAAAATTTATATCATAACAAATTATAATTCCATTTTTTTCTTATCGTTATCCTTGTCAATATTTTCTTTATCTGCTATTTTATTAACTTTTGCCATTTTTTCATTCTGGAAAAAACCATATCGTTTAACTTCAAATTATCTTTCTTATTTAGTAGTATGTTCTTTTATTTCTATACCTGTTTCTTTGAATCTCTAAAAAAAGTATGGCCTTCAAGAGTTACATGAGATAATTCAGGCTGCTGTAATAAATACTTTTTTGCATCTATAGCTTGTGAACCTTCATAAAATAAAAATACACTTCTCTTTGAATCAATTGGATATCTATAAAAGATTTAATATTTCATAAATATTCTTTATTATTTAAATATATTGAAAATAAGATTTAAAAATGGAGAAAATACTACCTCTCTGTAACAATATGATTATTTCGAAGACTAGTCTGCCAAATTTGCATTATTGTATCTGCTTCTTCATTTGACATATCTTCGTTGGTATCCACAAACATCATTACACTTTTACCTTTCTTTGTTACTTTTAGTACATTATCAGAATCTGACATATTAAGCTAAATAAAAATAAATACACTGATTTTATGTACAAAATTAATTCACAAAATTCTTTGAAATGATATTTCATATTACCTTTGATAATTCAATTTTCGGACTGGGTCTAAGATGTTCTGGTAATTCATCTGGTTCCAAAGGTTCTTCATTTTCCTAATTATAAAACAATAAATGTTTGTCCGTTTCCTTTAAATTTTATTTATTTTTTCCCATTTTATTTTTATTTTGCAAATATAGGGTTAAAACGTGGCATACCTCCCACTGATCTAACAAGTGTTCCAAATCCGCATCAGTCATGTCCCGTATGTCTTTATCTCGCCACGATTTTTTTTTCTTTGATTTTATATCGCTATTCGCATTCACATAAATTAATAAAAATATACTATAAATAATAATCTCTTTTCTCATATTTGTGAATTACGAAAATCAACAGGTTAATACAAAATTTTTAATTCTTCAGCTATTAAAAAATTAGTACATTTTTAATGTTTCTAAGTTAATTTCAAAATAGAACTACTTTCAAAGAAATCTATTTAAAATTTATGTTTTTTATAATTTGTTTTAATAACACACAATTAGAATCAAAATGAACGTTTCACTCTCAAGATTCATGTATCTTGTAAAGAAAAAGCGATTAGTGTTGCCATCTAGCGTAGTTTCAAAGAAAGTAATAAAGATAATAATGTTCGCAGTTTGGTACGATGATGTAAATTAGAAGCAGTATGTCAGTTTTATTATTGTTTAGTGTTGTTAAAAATTTCAGAGTGATTATTTACTGAAGCTTGTTGTACAAGGTACAATTCACTTATTATGTTACCAATAAAATAAATTACTCTAGTTAACTGTATTATTTGGTATAAAGTGGGTCAGAAATGTTTTCTTACTTGTTTCTTTATATTAAAACAGTTTCTGAGGTGTATTTAAAATGTTATGTTACGCAGGAATATGAATCTCGAAATATAATTATATAAAATAATTAAATTGTTTGTAAATATTATACATGTCTTTTAGGTTTTTGTTGTTCGATAAAAGTGCATGTAAAATTAAAGTTATTCATTTGCAAAATAATTAATGACATTTTGCGACGATGAGTGTTTATTAGTCATTAATATAATTTCTTATGCTTTTTATTTGTGATAACATGCGTGAAGCTATACTGCCTGCATCATTTGTCACTTAAGTGTATGTTTATCACTGACCAAGTGGATGATCTAAGCAATGTTTAATAATCTAGTAAGTTTCTCGCCATTTCTTTATTATTTACTAAACTATTTTTATGCATGTCCTATGATATTTAAATAAAAAGGATTTCTTAAAAATTTCATCAAATAATACTTGCACTTATTTTTCTTTATTTTAGATGCTAGTTTTTTAATTTCATAAATTAATTATGTATAATTAATTCAAAAATGTATAAGAAAAATGTTATGCTAATTGTAAGATATCCTTTATTTAAGTAATTTTATTTAAAATTACATATTTTTACTTCTTAAAATTAATAGTTTTTTATAGTTTACAAAATTGAAAATGCTTTTCATTATGTGAAAAATTGAATGATATAAATTATTACTAATGACTATTTAGAAATTTTATTTGTAAATTATATAAGAGAAACAATATATTTCTATTTTGTTTCCTTTCAGATTGAAAATACACTGGAATAAATCTTAATTGCTATTAAAAATTGTAATTTTTGTATATTAAAGATTATAAAAAATGAATAATTTTCAAAATGAAATTAATGTGCAAGAAATAGTAGAACTTGTAAAACTTCTGCATCGGAATGGAGATAAAGTATTAAATGCATCAGGCAAGCTCTCTTTATCAACTACTTTGTTATATAATTTAAATGAAGCTTTTGCTTTGATTGTGGATGGATGCGAAGATTTAGAAACATCATTTCAAGTATGTAATAACTCAAAAATAAACATATTTTGTGATCTGAAATTTCTACATGACTTTATACAAAAAACAATTGGATTGAAAGTGACTTACTGTCCAAATAATCCCAACATCCCTGTTAATATTACCAAATTCAAATGTTTAAAGTATCTAGAATTAAAAAAAATCAACATTGATTCTGTAAAAGGACTTCAAAGTGTTAGAGGTGAACTTGAAAGTATTGTCTGTGCTGGTAGAAAAGGAATTTGTACTATAAAACAGCTATTAGGTAATTATAATGAAAAAACTATAAATTTTAATTAAAGGATATGTTTAATATACATATTATTTTTATGCAGCTAATTGTGGTGGAGATGCAGGTATTGGATTTGTATGGGGTTCTTTAAAACATTTGGCATTATCATATAATGCTCTTGAACAATTAGATACATCTTTGGAATTGGTACCTTGGTTACAAGTAATAGATTTAAGTCATAACTTGATAACATCTGCAGATGAATTATCTTGTTTACCAAATTTGAAATATGTAAATCTTGGATACAATAAACTTAAAACAGTACCTACTTTTAATGAATCTGCATCACATTTATTACAAGTACTAATTCTGAAGAATAACTACATAAAAAATTTAAATGGTAATACATTATTGTGATTTATTATTTTATATACATTTTTTATAATTAATATTTTACATTGTACTTAATTTCAAATATCTTTATAAAAGAAATTTTATAAACAATTTTTGCTAAAACAGGTTTGCAAAATTTGGAATGTTTAATAGAATTAGATATATCATATAATTATTTGATGGAACATTCAGTTTTATGGCCATTAGAAAAAATGTCTGCTTTATTATGGATATCTTTAGAAGTAAATCCTTTATCATATCATCCAACACATCGATTATTATCCATAAAATATTTACATCCATGTTTGAGTAATAGCAAGGTAGGCAATATGTTAAAAATTATAACATATATAGTACGTATTATCATAAAACGTTAATTTTCAAGTACTTTAATTTTAGATATATGCGAATAAAATTTCACAATTTAGTTTGTTTTAGATCATTGGCCACTTTCAAGATCAGAAAAACAGATTATTGCACAAAATCGACATTTTACGATCAGATCCGAACAATTCGAATCGAACGAGTTTCTTAGCTCAATGTCAAATTCTTTAAATTCTAGTAGTCAACTTTCATCTATTAATACATTTACAACTAATGAATTTGCAGCAGGAAAATCTACGGATGAGACAAGTAGTATCCAAAAAAGTTTTTTTAAAATTAAAAAAAAAGCAAATGTAAAGGAAGCCATTATTGCAGAAGCTGAGCAAGAGAAAAAGGAATTGAAGGCAGATCCTGGTATTTCTGTCCTAGATATTACATTACTTTTAATTACAATTAATTTTTTCCGATAGTGAGACATAATGCAATATTACTCTTTAAATTTTATTTTCTACAGGGACTTCAAAAGGTCATTTAGAAACAAAGAAACAAATTTTAGAAATACGAAAAAAATATGGAGAAGATAAATGGTTAATTAGTCCTGCTGGGATATTTGTTCAAGACATTATGGGTTTACAACCTTCAACATGTCCAACTTTATTAACACCAGATTATACAGTACAAAATTTAGATGGTATTTTTATATCTGAATCTTTACCGAAAGAAATTAGTGAAATTAACAACGAAGAAGATAATGAAATTAAAGTATTAAAAGAAGAAGAAAATGATCCTGAAGCTTTATCAATCAGTGAAATAAATGCTCTCATGAATGTATCTGAGCCCCCATATGATCCAAAGCAAGGTATATTATAAAAAAAAATTATATATGTTATTAAAAAATTATTATTTTAATTCCTGTATTTTGTAATATTTAGAAGTGGGGGATTTATATGTAGTTAAAAAGAAGAAAAATGCAAATGAAATGGAAGAATTGTTTTTAATAATAACATCAGAGTAAGTATTTTTTATTATATTGAAAGTTTTATTTTATCTATATCTCTTTATTTTATCATGTAATTATTGTAGTAATATTAAAGAAAGAGATTTTCTTACTGGAAAATTGAAATGTTGTTGGTCAACAAGTTCAGTGTTATCATGCATATTAGTCAAGAGTGAATCAGTTGCAGTGGACATAATTTTTGATACAACACAAGAACATCGTCAAAACAGGAGATATTTTGTAGAATCAGATGCTGCTAAAGTAAAAAATAATGAAATACAAATATAGATACAAATGGCACATAAATAGCATTAATGTATTGCCTGGTTACTTTACAGGAGATAGTCAAAATAATAGACGAGAAAATGAAGAAAAGACAAATATCATTAAAAGTTTTTAAATGTATGAAATGTTCAACTCATTTTTCACAAGATTCAGAATATGTTACTCTCATAAATTTATCTCAGTCAGGTATATTTTAATATAATAATAAAGCGAGCTACAGATATCCTATAAATGACAAGATGTGTATAATACTGTAATAAATATGTTTCATTAGATACAAAACAGTTAAAATGTTCTGCCTGTGGAAGTACCTTAGTTATAGAAGTAGATGAATTGTCAACTTTGGATGAGAAAAAAAGTAATATTTCTGAAGGTTCATCAGAATACATTGCAAAAAATCAGTATTCGGAGAACCCAATAAAAACCAATTTACAACATTCTGAATCTTTCTCTAGTATTGGTAAGTTTCACACATATCTCTGCATGCAATTGATATTATAATATTAATATGAGAATGAATAAAACATTCGACAAAAAGTACAATCCTTTTAATAATAAAATATATTATCAATTTACTAGATATAATCAAGATTTTATTATATATATGTGGTGTTTAAATGTGTTAATTATAAAGTGGAAAATAATAAGTTATATTGTGAGGTTTCTACGGTAAAAATTAACCATACATTTATTTGTTTATAATGTTGGATTTTTGTAATATTAAACTCTTTAAGTTTTATGGTAGAAGTAATATTTATTAATTCGTTGAATGTGAATGCACCAATTTTGTAACTGCTGTCTGCATATCCATGCATTGTACTGTTTACTGGGACTATAACATACTAATCCCGGTGCAGGTGGAACGGAGGGTGGAGCTATATCCGTCACCACTTCTCTGGTGCACTCCGACTCTTACACTCAAGCTCAAGTCTGCTGTAAGCTTCAGCCACAGTATTTTATTACAGCACTTTCTGTTTTCACAAGCTTCTTTCATGATTAAAAATATAAAGCTGTAATATTAGTTGCTTTACTATTTATAATTATATACTATTGTTAGTATTTTAAGCCCATATTTTTATTTTTGTATTCCCAATATATTTATTTATTATTATACAGTTGTACTGTATAAAAAGAGCTGACTATGAGGAAAAATTATGTAGAAACCTGTAAAGAAGCACTTTTTCTTTCAAATAAATCAAACAAAACAAAAAAAGAAGTATGAGCACCTCTTTGATTAATATATTGTGTTAAACTCATATTAAAGTAATATATAATATGTAATAAATATTATACATTAGAGCTAAATGAGATAACTATCTTTTTTTGTTATTAATAGGTTCAGCAACAAGTTTGGAAGAATCAAGGGAATCCACACCATCTACAAATGCATTAAACAAAAAATATGAAAGCGATATAGAAGTACTTAGTAATCCAAGCCAAAGTAGCATTGAAGTATTAGATGATGCATCGAGGTAAACTTTATATTTTTATTTTTTTTTTTTAACATAATTTGATATGCTCATCTGTATAAAAACTCTTTGTGTCTCTAAGTACTATTTTTGCAATAATTATTGTCATAGAACTCATTTGACGCCACATAGGAAGCGTTCTTCAGAAGAAAGACATACCGCTATTACTCCTTCTCTTTTAACAATACCGGATATAGCCCCAATTATGACTGGTTTAACCGAAAGTAGTTCTTCAGGTTTGCTTCAATTTTTTAATATTTTTACTCTAAAAATTATCATGGGTTAATTATAATCAATAAAATTACTTTTGCAGGTTCTTTAACAGATAGTATTTGTACTGCATATGAAAATAAAGCAATTAAGCAAAGTAATGCGGATGAAAAATCCGTTACTAGTAATGATAAAGAGATAAAATTTGAGCCTGTAACAAATTTAACTTCCATGCTAGGTGGTTAGTAAAATCATATACTTGTTTATCTGTCAATATTAAATTTTCTACATATATTGATACCCTTTATTGTGGATAATTTTAGGATTACTTCAGAGTATAAAAATTGGTAGTAATAAACCATTAATGTTAAAAGCGGAAGAAACATCTCATCTTATAGGCAGTGATATTCAGTATTCTTATATAGACTTCAGCAGTGTAGATCACAGAATAAAATTACATATTATTTTAAACATATTTGAACATGAAAATGAAGAGCTTGTTCTTCTCCTTAGGGTAACGTATAAAACTCTGTAACTCTTATTTTTTAAATTAATATTTTAAACAAATATTATTAATTTGTTTGTTATAACTTACAGGCAGAAATTCTAATGCAAAATGCAACAGAAACGTTTCCTGGTTGTTTGGTTTTATCTACATCAAAAGTTTATGTTCTTAGAATTATTGGAAAAGAAGGGTAATAGTAAATAAGATATTGTTTTAGCAAAGTTTCATTCACAGTAAATCTTTTTTATTGCTATTACAGAGAAGACCCACAGCGCTGGTTGTTTGAAGAATGTAGTTGGACAATTGATAGATTAAGACGCATTTTGCAGATACCATTCAAACAAGGTGTTTTAGTAGAATTAGAACAATCTAATAAAACACATGACGAATTGAACTCTACTATTACATTTTTATGTGTTCTACAGGACTTACAAAGAACATTAAACTTCTTACTTTATGTTACGGGTAAAGAATATAAACGTTTATTTTATATTTAAATAGAGTCAAGCCATTAACTTCATTAAATGAATTATTTCCTATTCACAGATATTTTGTTACTACCCATATGTGAAAAAACTGAACTTACAGTACCAGAATACTATACTTCTTCGATGCATCATTTGTTAAAAAATTGCAAAAGTTACCAGGATGGAGATACCGTTAGACAACTTGCATTATTTTCTTCTGGTTTATTAAGATATGAAGATGTCGAAGTTCAACTTAAATTATCTAGTTTAATAATAACTACATCTGTCTTGGCAATATGCAATATGCAATGGCTTCTTCCTGGCAATAAAGAATTGCCCTATATAAAAAGGGAACAAGCAATGAGTAATTTGATTGGAGTTGTACGTATTTGAGTAATATAAATAAACTTGAAAACTTGAAATTTTTGTAATCTCATATTTTAATGTTTTATATTTAAATAATTTTTTGTATGTTTAGGAACATTGTAGGTCTTCATTGACATTAAACTTCTTAGACGAATTAATAGGTCAAGAAGAAACGTGGGTGTTAAATTTTGTTTCTGTGAATGCTGTTGAAGTAGTCATTACTTCTATACGATCTCCATGGGAGGAATTATTTTCAGTTCCCTTACAAGATACTGTTTGCAAGTCACAAGATAGTGAAAACATATAGAGCATTAATATGTACGGAAAAGTATTCTAGTCGAATAAAACACATCAGGTGAACCTTTGAACAAATACAATTTATTAAATCAAATTTATAGCTTACATAATTTTGTACATGTTAGTGCATGAATAATTTTTTTGTACAAAATTTGTAATTTAATCAGATAAAAAGAATAAAAAAATGTACTATTTGTTCAGTGAAAGTATATATAACCATACGATATAAGAAAGAATATATTACAAATAAGAACTGCTTTTCACATACTTTTAATTTGAATTTTATATTATTCTTTAATTTATAAAATATATATTATACTTATAGAA